AAGCGTAGTGAGTAGTGATGGACCAATCTATCAATTCAATTTGTCAAACTCTAATTTTGTTCAGATTTGACAAGTTGCATATATAAATGATCTAAACTAGTGTCGTTTTCGAATAATAATGGAATTAGTAGTGACTTGTGAACATTCTCAAATTTCAACGCGTAAATAAATTACATCCCTAAAGACCCTCTAGAATGAGAATGTTACTTTAATACTATACAAAATGTGTATATATATATTTATTTTGAATGACTTCTTAAAATGCAACCACCAATAGGTCATTGTATTTCTTCACGAGTCAATTTCTCATATGACAATGTTGAAATGTTTGTGGGGCTTGAGCTTGTCTCATGAAACTAATGTATATGATCTGAAATATGTTGGTTAGGTCTAAGTCCAACGACCAATACTTGAGTCGTTGAAGCCATATATGCTTCAAAGTCATAACCATAGTGGTCGACACCTTCGCTTTCACGTATCAAATTATTCGTGCAAAGTGCAACCGTGTAACTTTAGAACATGGATCTTCTATACAACCGTGGACCTCAGCACTAAATTTTAGCCAACTCATTTTAGCATTCCACGTGTGATAAGAATCGTCAAACAAATCATGTTTTCAGTTATGCGTGTACTATGTAGTTACTATAAGGATTAATTCAACTTACCAAAACTATAATAGCAACTTTAACGTAATTGCTTAAGTTGTCTTTTGTATCTTATGTAAGCCGTCATTGCTTACCCAACACATGACTCTGGTGCACAGATATCTTCTTTCATATTAAAATTTGAATCATACAATGAGTTTCACCGATGTAGATGTTCTAATTGTTTTTGTTTCTTGAGAATGGAGTGTGTGTTGATAACACATTTTCATATTTTTCATGATATGTAGTATGTTTTAATTTATGTTATGTATTTTCGTTCCTGGCCCCAATAATTGATATCTAAATAATCTTAGTTAAAGACTCATATTCTTATGCTTTGATCTTGATTTTTTTAGCTATTTTTATGTGTTTTTGAAACTATAGAATACGAATTGAATGTGTTCATTCTTCAGCGTAAACTTAGAAAAAGGCCGTCAAGGGGAAAAAAATACCATATATATTAAGATTGATGGATGGATTAGGTAGATGGCAAATTGGTGTAGCTGTTTTCAAGTCATATAAAGCTTGATTTACTTCGCCAATCGCCTTTGTACTGCCTTGGCAAAAATTCTATGGACACAAAAAAATTACCCAACAATGTAATAGACATTGCTTTTGCTAGCTTTAGATACATAGATACATAGGATTCTGAATCATTCTAAATATAGCATATAGCAAATAACGTGGATGTAAAAGTAGCAATAATGTTTTTACATATCACTAGGGAAAAATAAAACTTTTTACGACAAATTTTTACATCAATTAATATTAATCCATCTAATAAAAATAAAAATGTCAATAGCATTTTTTTAAAAATATAATAGAAAATTTTTAATATCAATCGTTAAACCATTAAAAATAAATTTTTAAATCGATTAAATTTTAAATTAATTTATAAAGTTATTTATATTAGTTCTTACATAGCTGATCTGAAATGTAATTTAAAAAATAACTTTTTAGATCGATTAGTATTTAATAGATGTAAAGAGAAAAGTTAGTAATACATTATTTAACACACTTTTTACTATTAGTTAAAATTTATTGAAAACAAAAAAAATTATGAAAAAAAACATTAATTTAGGAGTAAGAAAGACTAAAACTCATATAATTTTTATAATTTTTAATTAACAGTAAGAAGTGTATTACAAAGAGTATATTTCATAATGTAAAATTTAATTTAAAAATAAAATTTTAGATGCAACAATGAAATATGATAAAAAAAATTTCAAGCAAAATTTGGAGACAACTAACCTTTACTTGCATTCTCAAGCTTTTTGTGTTTTTGGATACAATGAATACTAATCTCATTCCAATTTAGTCATGTCGCTGATGAATACTTTGAGCTCTATTTTGTATTTTCATCTTCTTTAATCTATTTATTTTGGTACGATATCGATAAACATTACATATTTTTTATTTATAAACTTAATAAAAAATAAAGTTGTCTTACAATCTTGATCTTTTGTTTGCATTTTTTTGGTACAACGAATGCTAATCTCATTCCAGTTTCGATACATCATTAAATATGTCGAATTTCATTATATGTTTTTGTATACATTAACTCATTTGTTTTAGTACAAAATTAATGAATATTGTGCATTCTTTATTTGCATACTCAATCAAAAGTGCAAATCTCCTTGCATTCTCAAACTTCTATTAATGATTTTGAGTACAATGAATACTAACTTTTTTTTAATTTAGGTACGTCACTAATGAATATCTCATGCTTCATTTTGTATTTTCATCTTTATTAATCTATTTGTTTTGGTACAAAGTTAACAAAAGTTTATGTATTTTTCATTTGCAGATTCAATCAAAATCACAAATTTCTATCCAATCTCTAATATAACCAGTTCTAATCTCTGTATAGGTTACTCAACAAAAAGTGTTTATTAAAACTTCCTGTCAATTTTTGTATATTGCAACTAATGTATAAAATTTATACTTTGATTATCCTTAATTGATGTAAAATATTTTTTTACATTGATTTTATAAACAATTTAAAAATGTTTTCTTTTTCTTTTATTATCATAACGCGTCATATCAAATTGAAAAAAATAAAAAAATTCAACAAAATTTAAATTTTCACAAATAAAAATCTTATTATATTGAATATATGTAAATTGGTTTACCAATCAATGTGATTAGGAATGAGAATGGATGAGATTGAAGGTTAAATGGGTTTGGCACTAGAGCCTAAGCCTATTACCTAACATAGGCTAAATTTTTAAGTTTGACTTCACCTTTTTATAAATATGACCTAACCCAATAGCATATTTAGTAGCCTATTTAATAGTAAGACTTTCAAATAATACTAAAAATTTAAATTTAACTAGCCAGTGAATCAATAAACTAATAACCAACGAGCTAACAAGTTGAAAGGCTTATTATTAGTAAAATAAAAAATATATAATAAGTAATTATATTTAAATATTATGTTTAATAATATATATATATATATATATATATGGCTTCACAGATATCATATCTCAGAATGACCATATTTAATAACTCTACAAAGTTTTAAAAAATCATATTAGAGTTAAGAAGTTGAAAAGTATTTAAATTAAAAATATTAGAATAAGAATTGAGAAAGAATGAATTCTAATAATGAATTGAGATATTTTAAAAATCAGACAAAATTTTAATTGATATTTGTTTTTATGATAAGTTTTAATTTTGACAATCTAATAATATAATTATAATTATTACATTATTATAACTAAATTATGTTATATATATATATATATATATATATATATATATATTTTTAAAACAATTATATTTATATTAAATTGTTATGAATAAATAACTATAAATTATAAAATAATATAATTATTTAATTTGACTGACTCAATAGGTTTGAAAGACTTTTTTTAAAAGTTAAGTCTGGTCTCTTTATCTAAATAGGTATTTTTAAAAGTTTAAATTTGACTTTTTAATAAATGAGTCGAACCAAGTTAGGCCTTTAAGAGGTTAGGTTATATAGGCTTCAGATGAACATTTCTAAATGTGATAGAAGTAAATATCAGGAGTAAAATTATATTTACAGATCAAATTTACCTATGAATAGACATACACAATATATGACAGAGACTTTTGACAGAATAATTTACAGCAGATGTTGTGGATAACTATAGATTGTTAATTACAACATATTAATATTGATATTAGCTATAAATTGTGGCTGAACACTAACAAACTGGCTTAAAAAATCACTAACACAGTATAAAATGTCACTTTTAACTTATGAAATAAGTGATTTCTACACTAATGTATATACTATTATTCGGTGGTTTAGCCCTTGAGCAGAAGATATAACATAAATGCAAAGTTTGATAATACTCCAATTGTCATGTGCGGGTATGCAATCTGGTGATGAAGGTAGAGGAGTGTTCTAACATTCTAACACGTTCTTATGAGAAAACTCCAATGCTAAAGTAAAGAAGGATTTGAACAATAATATTTTCAAGTGTATAGAGTGACGTATTTGACGTCCATCATTTCCTTTATATAGGGACTGCTGATCCCCTTGAGATTCTGATATGTGATTTTGATTGTTCGACACGATCATTTGTACGACGCCTCATTGATGGAATATTAACTTGGGACTTTGTATAGCCATCAGTAGTCACAATTTTTTTTTTCGGTCAAGGAATAGTCAGAGAATCTATGGATCCTACACCTCTTTTTTTGTCAAACTAAGGAAATACAAAGGCCAAAGACGGACCAGGCCCAAACATTAACAATAGGCCCTAACAAATATAGCAGACCTATAAAACATCAAAGCAGGAAAAGCCTGCTATGGTCCTTTCATTTGTTTGGGCCTCGACTAGTTGGGTTAGGCCATGACTAGAACGAGGGGCACAAATATTCTTGTTAAGAATATTAAAAATAAACAATTTTTAATTCATGGAAAAAGTTTAAATTTTCGGAATTTTAAATTTTATATTAGAATAAAGAAAAAATTTCGTTCGGAAAATGTGTCTTACAAGCTTTACTGCATACAAAAGAACGGTTTAATCAAACCAACCATGTGGTCTGATAAAAAAAATCATGTTAGGAATAATATAAGTTATGGACTTACATAAATATGGGTTGAGATTGAGAATCATAAATAAAAATAATAATAAAAAAAGTTGCTTGAAACACAGTTAGATAGAGAGCATACAACTATCACCCAATCAATGAAGATATTAACTCCTTTCTGTCACATTAATGTTCAATGCTCAACCAAAATAACATCCAATGACATATACATCATACATACTTATGAACAATCTTGGCAAATGAAGCCCTCTCATGATACAAGGAACTATGTTAAAGCAAGGAAGAGCAACATCAGCATTTATAGCTTCATTTGAAGGAACTACTTCGATCCCAATTAGGCAATGAGCAATCTGAATTAATACTGAGATCCTTTATAGTTCGGCTTGATTTTATAGGCATTGAAAGACCCTTAAAGCTTGGAGATCTTTGCTGGTTACAACCACTGATCTTCCCCATTTTACCACTACCAAGAACATCACTGTTAATAGACGATGCAATTGATAGCTTTTTCTTGCATGGTGAATATGTATCAGAGTTCATGTCCAAACTCCCTGTCCTTAATTTTGGAGAGCTTGTTGATCTTGCTTTTGCTTTTGCTGATTCAGTAGCAGCCATGTATGCTGGAGTTGCAGGAGAGCTTGAAAATGCGTTGTCTTCTCCCACTGAACACTGTCTCCTATGAGGAAAAGATCTTAATCTTGAAGCAAGTATTGGAGATTCTAACCCTTCAACTGGATTTTGTCTTGGATCACTTCTCAGCCTAAGTTGTCTTCCTCCGTATTCCTCCCCACCTCTAGAATGTGAACTAAAAACTGAGTCTAAATCTTCAAGTTCTTTGCTTTTTGAAAGTTGTGTATCTACCCACTGCTCCAGCCAATACCTCCATCTTCCATTTACTTTACTTCTTTCTGTCTCTGCTGATCTCTGAGGGGGGTTTTGTAGGTTAGCTTGAGAATCTTAGGACAGTTTGGTTTCAGGAATTGTTTTTTGTTTTCAAAGGTTTGTACAGAAAACGTTTCTAGAAACCAAACAGCTCCTTAATGTGTAAAAAGAACCAAGAAAAAACGTATGAAAGAGGTCGGAGCTTACTCTATGGCTAAATGAGTATTCTTTTATTCTTTCTCTCTTGAGAACTGCTTCTTTCTTGCTCATGCAAGAGGCATCTGCCTCTTCCTTCAATAAAGTGCTGTCATCCCACTTTCTTTCACTGTTTGAGTCCATCTGAAAATGTGAAAGAAAACTGTTTCAAATTCTACACTATACAAGGATAAAAGTTAACAACAATATAAATGATACTTTGATAAGTCTCCATGATATAGTGTACTTCGTTATGCTCACCCTAATTATCTTGTCTTTGGAATCTTGCATCACTTCATTTTCAGCACAATCCCATTTCCCTTCAACCATTTGGAGTCTCTTTGCACAAACCTGTGACTGTATACTTACAATGGACTGCAAACACTTGAGAGTACTCATAGCTTGGCGCCTCACTGCTCTCCCACGAATGATAGCTTGAAGCTTCACTATTCCCTTCAATGCCCTCAGAGCCTTCCTTGCCTGTAATGAATGTCTTATTAGTCACTGAATAAGAGGATTCAATGAGTAAGAATAAAGTAGGTGCTGAACTTTGATGGCTGAAGTAGTACTCCTATTAGTACTACTCTCTTTTTTCCAATTTTTGTTGCTTCTTTTACTGTCTTTGGAGTTAAATTTTGAGATCACAAAATGGTTGAACAAGTCATAAGGGTAAAGATTTTGCAAAAAGGTCTTAAGCTAACACAAAACAAAGGAAAAATAGCTTGGACAAAACAAACTCACCAGGTAACCCCGAAATGCAGTTTGAATTTTGATGGCTGAAGCAGATTCTTGGATCTCCATCTGGCATTGGTATGTGAATTGAGGAGTAGTAGCATTCCTAGTTCTATCAGGTTGAGATTCTGAGACCCCAGTGAGTCGAAAAACTTCAGCAGCAACCTGAGCAGCAGCTTCAGCAGCTGCTGCTGAGGCAATAGCCACAGTTAAAGCATGCTTGTTCTGTTCTTCCTCTGCTTCACTAAGGGTTGTTTCTTTTGATGGTGGTGGAGCTGTAATTGAAGGTAATCTCTTGGTCTTTAGCCTCCCAAATATCCATTTCCTTCTTTTCTCCTTCTGGAATGAAGTTTTCTATTTCATGTGAAATAGACAATTTAATTTCAAAGATTTATTTTTAAGAGAAAAAAAAAAGTTAGATTTAGTGACTTACCTTCTCTTGTGTTGAATGTGTATCCCATATAAACAGCCTCTTCACCAGACTGAACCAGCTCTTCTTCTTGGCCATTAAACAATATCACACAGGTCAACTTCAATTCCTTTGATCTGAAATTTTGCCCTTATGAATCATCCTCTTATACAGAAGACATCTTGGTTCTTGGTTATCTAAACCTCACATCAATTTTGAAGAGTAGGTGTGTGAAAGTGAAACGTAAAATTGGTTGGTGTCCAGGCATTGATTTAAGTAACGTAATTGTACAACTCAAGCATTAAACTTGTCCAAAAAGACAGAACAATTTGCAGAACTTGTCATAAAATTAGATTCCTATTTGCATAAGTGGTAAGAGCGAAGGCCAAATACTAGTACATGAATCAGAACCTTGATTTCAGAGTAAATTAAACATCAATGCACACAAGCCAAGATAGTTGGAAAAAGATGAAACAGATTTGGGAGTATGATCCAAGTTAATTACTTACCCATTTCTTGAAATCCGATAAATTTGTTAAAAAGGACAAGAGCCACCGTTTCAGAAAGCTTGATGCATGGGAACAAGTGCAGTGCTGTCATTCATTAAATTCAGATGGAATGGCCTTGAAACCAGCAAACATTCTTTATAATATATATCAGTTACTCAAACCTCAAGAATGTGGAACTTTGGAGGGATTTCAGCAGTGAATGTGCACAGATACCAAAAGATTCTTTCCTCATAAGGAGCAGAACTGAAAACTTGTTGTGGAGTGGCTATGATTTCTATGTGGGTGCAACTGCAATCATTCACATTTTTCATCTTCCACAATCTTCATGATTGAGTTTCTCCTGTTCCAAATGTGGGCCTCCAAGAGCAACCATTGCTCTCAGGATAAAAAGCATAGCCACTTTGTATTCATTAGGAGAACTAAAAGCCATTCCTCTCAGCTTCATGGGTCCTCTCTTTTTTATTTTCTCCCATCTCTCTTTTTTCCAACTGTAGCAGGCATGATCATATGTCTGTTGGGTTTGAAATTACATAATTGTCCCTTGCTTAGCTCTCATATAATCATCAAATAGCAAGCAACAATTGCCCTTCATTTATACTACATGTTTGTCAATTTTCTGATAAGGAGGGTCAGAACTTTATGTAGTATACGTATGACTACCATATACTAACTTCTTATAGAAATTAGAAATAGGCATGGCATTGCCTTGCAGCACCTGTCCTATCAATTATCATCATATACTATTGCTTAGAACTAAATTCTAGTGTTTGAAATCACACTTTAAATAATCATTACTTCATACTTTGCCATGCATAAAGAGAAACATAGAAAATATACATATACACACATTTTTTCATCCTACACACACGTAACCAATCATGTGTGAAGTGGTCACATCAGCTACACTGATATAAAAATGTGAATATGTACGAGTAGCATTATTAGAAATGTAGTGTTTAAGTGTTCCACAAGTATTAGGAGACATTGTTATAGATAGGTGTGTAAGGAGAGGTAGGGAAGTGCATAATTGAGTCGTGTGGACAATAGACACATAATGTGCAGAGGGTAGGGAATGTGGGGAAGAAAACAAAGAAGATTTTTGGATTAATAGAAAGGAAGACAGCTGTAAAAGGACCCAAAAAGAGGAATTGTCATAATATATTCTCACCTCATATTTTCTAAAAGAGTAAAGTGAAGAAAGAGAGTGTGGTTTGATAGTAGAGAACCAAAAGCAGATGGTTGTCACCCTAAAGTTTTCTTAAAAAACCAGTGTTGGGTGTTGATGTTAAAACAATGAACTATGGTTGTCTAGTTGGAAATAGACTAATCGACTAGGTTTTGTTAGCGTTGTCAAACATGACCAAACTCTAACCGTGCAATCAGAGGTTTTAGGGACATCATTTCTAAGCAACTATGCATAAAAATATCAGAATGTGGTCATGCTCACCAAATGTTCAGTCAAAAAGAAATTACCTCTACAGCACAACACTTTGTTTTTATTTTTATTTTTTTAGTTATATAATTAAAAAATTAATAATACATCAAATTAGATCATAAAATTATAAGTACAAAGTTAATTTGATCCTTAAAAATTTACTTCTTTTAAAATCTGAAATTATTAAACCATGGTCATGACATTATTAAAAAAAATATTTCTTTTACTTTGTGAAGTATAATAATAAGATTAAAATGATTAATTTTTAATAATTTATAAAATAAAAATATTTATAATTTTAAGAAATAATATGTATTTATAATATAAATAAACTCTCTGTTTTGTCCGTCACCGCAAAGCGCTTTCACATCAAACCTATAGAAATAATTTTTAAGAAACAAATATTATCCCTTCATTATTCATAAATGAGAGGTACAAACATTTTCTAGATAAATTTTAAAAATTATATTTTAATAAATATATACTGATTTAAATAATATTATAATAATTAATAATTTTTAAAGTCCACATTAATCCGTGCATTTAACGGGTTCGGATTCTGGTTCAGTGTATTACTCCTTAAAAAATATTAAAGAAAAAATCCAAGCATGTTGTTATAGGCTTTTTTTACTAATTAGGAATTTCTTAAAACTAATTATCAAATTAAAATTATTACAAAATATATTATTTATATAGAGTTATTTTTAACACATGGCACAAATATTCCCTTACTCAAGGGCAATTTCTTCAGATTTCTTTTAAAAGAAGTGTTGTTTTGGCCTAACGTGTTATATGGTAAATCTATAACGATACTCTCTATGTGACACGTGTTATGTAGAGATAATATTTTTTAGAAACTACTACATTATAAATTAATTATTATAAAAAATTATTTAATAGATTATTTAAAAACTTTATTATTAAATAAATATTAATTTAAATGCTAATTATTAGTAAATTAAAATTGTAAAATATAAAAGATAAATTAATGATCATAATTTGTAAAATTAGATTAATTTAAAATAATAAATATTGAATATAATTTTAAATTATTTGTCATAAAAATATTATATTATACACTTTCAATTTATTTTAAGAAATTAAATAAATTTTGATGACAATTAAAATTAGTTATATTCAATATTTACTATTCTAATTGATTTAATTTTAACAAATTATGTTTATTAATTTATTTTCCAAATTTTATAATTTTTACTTACTAACAATTAACTTCTAAATCAATCTTTAATTAATAATTAATTTTTAAAATAACTTATTAAATAACCTTTTATGATAATTAATTTACTTTTAAGTCAATTTTTATTTAACTTTTTATAATAAATAATTTATAACGTGCCAAATTTTGAGGAGTATCGTCCTACAAATTTAAAACCCTATTCTTACATAACATATGTTACATTCATAGAATTACAAAGACAATACTTGTTGTGTGACATGTGTCAACTAACAAATTATTGTTTTACATCAGAAAAAAAATACTTCTTTTAAAAAAAATAAAATATAATTATGAGATAATATTTGTGTTACATTGAAGAAAACACTTCAAATCTGAAATATGTTTAACAATAATAACCCCAATTTGATAATTAATTTTTAAAAGACTCCTAATTTAAAAATTTATTGTTATAATTTATTTGCTTCACACCATGTCAATAATTGAGATTACCAAATAATTTTTTATTTAGAAAGGGATTAAGTAGCCGAAGCAAGCTATTATTTAAGCACTCGAATAGTATTTAGACCAAAATTGTGTCATGGGTTTATTATTACTTGAGAGGATCCAGTACTTAATAACTAAGTACAATTGATATTTCTGCCTATTTAACAACATTCTTTATCATTAGGTGACTATTAAAGATGCACTAAAAAAATTGTTAATTTATGGGGGTTAAATTTGAAAATTAATATCAGTTTTAATTGTTTCTAAATTTTATTTTGACGGTTATAAAATTGACATTAAAATTGGTGACACAAAATTAAATTTGTGATGATTTTGAACTGCTGCTAAAATTTAAAAACTATACTACACAATAAGTAAGAGTGCTTTGTTTTAAAGTTTGGTTCCACATTTTTTTTCTAGTTCTTATCTTTTACTCATTTCTTTCTTTTATTCTTTGGATTCACATTTTTAACACATTTTTAAAGAAAGTGAAAAAGATAATAGAAGATTACTTAGTTATCATAGTTGGAAAAGACACCTTGACAGTAGTGAAGGTGACAGTGGCAAAGAGGAGGGTGGTGGTGAAACTTAATGAGACCAAAGTAGAAGTAAAAGGGTAACTTTGAGTGGGTGATGGAAAATGAGTGGAGGTAAAGTAATGTTTCTTATATTTTGTTATCAAAAGTCGACTCTAAATCCCGTATTTTTTATGACGGTTACGCAAAATCGCCGTTAAATCTCATATTTTTTATGATGATTACACAAAATCGCTGCTAAATCCTATATTTTTTGTGGTGATTATAAAAAATCGTCACTAAATCCAGTAGTTTTTGTAGCGGTTGTAAAAAATTGTCACTAAATCCTATAATTTTTTAGAGCAGTGACTAAAATTATCGTTAAATATTATTTTCTACATATTTTACTAGTAATTATCTAATCACTGCTAATGAATCGATGTTAAATGGTGCATTTCTTGCATAGATGCTTAAACAAAAGCCAATAATCAAAAATAAAAAGACACCATCAAATAAAGTTGTTGAAGTGAAATAATTTAATAATAAGATTTTAACTATTTTTATATTCTTTCAATTATATTCTTTGTCATAAATAATAAAAAATTGTAAAAAAAAGTTAAATTCTATGTAATTTTTGTTGTATTGCTAAAATTTATAGCGTGAAAACATTCATAAAAAAAAAATTATATCATTAATATATTAAACAATATTAAGTTATTTTGTTGTGTGAGATGAAAAAATAATTAAAAATTATACATTAATAAAAATTTATTGTTTTGATTTATTCTAAAATACCTTTGTTGTTTGAAATTTTAGATAATTAAACTTTTAAAACAGACCTATGTAATATTTTTAAATATAATTTTAAACTAATATAAATAACATTTTATAAATAAAAGAAAATATCATCTCTGCATCTGTGTACTGGTGTCCAGGTCGCCCAGATAACGACAGTTAAATTCAATTAAAATTTATAATAAAATTGCATATTATTTATTAATAAGTTAATTTAAAATTACATGTCCTAGTATCCTAAAGATAAAACGTTGACTAATTAAATAAGCGGATCCCGTTAATAAAAGAAATTAATTTTAATATATACCAGATATTTATTCAATAAATAAAAATGTTGATATCATATTTTAAAATATCAAATTTAAAAAAAATAATTTAATTAAAGTATATAATAAAATTATTTAATTATAAATTATTATATCATTGACTTTTATAATAAATACTTTAAAAAATTATTACAATAATTTTTAATTAATTGAGTGCAATCTTTTAGTTAAAAATATATCAAAATTAAACTCTCACACTAAGGATAACTATTACCGACGTTTGAAGTACTTATATGGTGTATTATCGCAAGTTTTGTATTAATATTTAAATTTAGTTAATTTTTAAAATCAAATCAACTTAACTATGATTTAACTTACACTAGCCTTTTCTCTCCGTCAATAAACAATTTGTAGTTTTTTTTTTAATTCTCAGATATTTTATAAGATTTTAGAACTATCTGTTATTATTATTTTTGTCATCTCATAATTTTTGTTACATGACCGTTATTAATAATGTTAACATTATTGATATATATTAATAAAGTTTTACATAAACTGAAAATAAACTTAAAATGTTATAATTATTTTTTAAAAAACTTAACAACTTTTTTTAGTAATTCTTTTTAATATCTGTTATCTAGTTAAAATAATATTATAAAAAAACCAAAAAAGTTCGATTTTGTTAAAAAAAATATTTATTATAAATTTATATCTCTAATATAATGAATATATTTTTTATATATTTTAACTCATTCTTAAAAGTTTTAGATTATCAAAATCATATTTTTTAAAAATTAATTTAACTACATTTATCAAATTGTCTAACTGATTAGATATTCTTTATAGATAAGATCTATATTTTAAATTTTTAAACTGACTAACTACTTTATAAATTGTGTTATATGTATTTTAAACGATTCATTCAAACTTTGTGGCATCACAAGTAAAGTTTCATCAAAAAGCTTCTTACAAATACAAAGTGTCAAGTGATCAAGTGATCAAGTTAACTTTATCTAAAGTAAGAGTTTTTTCAATTGCAATTGTGATGTTTTATATGTAACATGTTCTACACTGCTCATAAACTTGAGAAAGAATTTTACATTTTTTAAATTAATAGTTGTGATTTATTTAAAGAGATAAAAGTAATAAAAAAAATATTAACATAGAACTTCTTAGATTGAAAAAAAATTAAAAATATAAGATAAAAAAGTTTCCAAGAGTTGATAAATTTTTTCTTTTTGTTTAAAATATTTTAAACAAAGATACTTATTGTGAGAGTTTTCTTTTCTTTCGCTCAAAAACTAATTTCCAAACTGTATGATTTCAAATGAGGTTATATTTATATTTCAATGCTGTAGAAGTTGAATCTAATAATTTTAGTGATTAATTTACCTTTGGTTTTGCCAATAGTATAGAATAAGATGACGATTATTCTATAATTATAAAAAAAAATCAGAGGTAATTTTTATATTTGTTAGGCTCTGTTATAGACCTGGTATTGCAAAACATGCTATAAATAGAAAAATACATTATTTAATGTAAAAAGAATGGCATATATGAGCGGAGTTTGAGGCAAGAAGAAGGGGCGCAGTGGTATTCTTAGTTGTTTCTTACACCTTCAATCACAGCACAAACCCTAACCCTAAATCGTCATCTCCAAATTCAGAGGCTTTTGCGTTGCTCGTTCTGTCGATGCTCGGTGTTGGTGCTACGAAGGCTCAAACGGGGAGGGTTCCTTTGTTAAATGCTCTCTCTCTTCATTCTCTGCTCTCTCTTTTCCCCTTTCATGTCTTCAATCGCAGCCTTTACTCCTTCAGGGTCTCCAAAAACCCTACTTTTTGATTTTCATCCCTTCTCTATACCCAACTCTTTCACTCCGAATTTTATACTCAATTTCTGCTTCCCGTGTCTACAACTTCCCTCTCGTGATCAACATGAGTGATTCTAAGGTTCGATTTTCGCTATAATCGTCATCAGAGATGCAATTGGAATTTCCCGTATCTTATGTCAATTAAGTGATCTTATTGCTAACTATTGCTTAAGGGTGTTTAATAATAGTTGTTTTGTTTGCCTCTGATAAAAAAAGTTTGCACTTTCCGTTTTTTTTTTTTTTTTTTAATGTTCCTTTTGTTTGAGCTATTTTGGATGTCCGTTGTCAGTTGCTGGTGTGAATTAGGGCTCACAATGGTTATTATGAATTGACAATAATTAATGGGGTGCATTGGTATAAACAATGTTGCTTAATTCGGTCGTTGAATTGTTAATTTCTATATATTTTAATTTTTGTCTTTTTATAAAATTTATTATGTGATAAAATTATTAATATTTATTGGCTTTGTGCGCCATTGCTTATCAGATGATAGTTTTCGGCTCATTCACTGAAGATGAAACCCGATCATTGCTGTTAAAGCCGACTTCTGGGAGAAATGAAACGCCTGTGGAGAAGAATGAGCTGCAATTTGGTTCTCTGAATTCCGTTACTGTTGAATCAAGCAACTTGCTAAATTCATCGAAAGCACCAGATAGTGATCCTCCCTCTGATTCTCAGAAATGTAATGGAGTGAAAACTGATAGTTACAATTCACCTAATGTATCAGGAACAATCAAAGAGAATGGCAGCATTACCAATTTCTCCCCTAGCCCCACGAGCATCATTACTGTAAATGAAGTTGAAGAAAATAACGAGAATTCTTTTACATTACTTGGTGAAGGTAGTCCCTCGAACAAGTTTACAAATTTGAGCCTAGATGTTTCTGAGGCTGGAAGCTTGAAGAATGTACAAGAAACTAGAGGTGGTGATTATTCTTCATCAAAATTATCTGATCAAGACCCCAAAAAGGCAACCAATGGGCATGCTGTTATGCATGCTAGAAATCTGCTGCCTCGAGGCCTTATTAACCCTGGCAATCTGTGCTTTCTTAATGCAACTATGCAGGCTCTCTTGTCATGTTCACCTTTTGTTCAGCTATTACAGGAAATAAGAACTCGCAACCTTCCCAAGGTTAGTTTGTCTACTGCTGCTTGTCAACTAATACTGCCATCTGCTAGTTTTAGTAAAATCTGAATTGAAAAATGCTGTTTGTGAAATAAATGTTCAACATCATATGTCATTGTATGCATTGAAATTTCCCTTATAACTAGGATACTAAAAAAGTATTGAACTGAATTAACTGATATTGTTGAATTCTCATTATTCTGCAATATATTAGGTTGGGTATCCCACGTTGGCGGCATTTGCAGAGTTTATAACCCAATTTGACATGCCAAGCACTACAAAATTAAAGCAGAAAGATGCCGATACTTTTGAGTCTGGAAGGCCATTTTGCCCTGTTATGTTTGAAAGTGTTTTAAAAAATTTTACTCGGGACGTGGCAGATAGCTTTTCAGGAAGACCAAGGTTGGTGATGATTTGTATTTTAATCTTGTTTTTGTGTTTCTGCCCCCCCCCCCCCCCCCTTATTTTTTATTTCTAATTGAACATATACTTGGTCATATCGAGAAGACCCAGTGGCCATGCTAGTTACCTTGTTTTGTATTGATATGCATGTGACCATTTTAACCTTAAATCAGATGTTGAAAGCTATCACTGTGCAATAAAATAATTGATAAATGGTCATGTTAATACATAATAGTCTCTGCCAGGTCTATAGTAGGACTTATTTATAATTTTATTCTACATGGAGTGATACAATCTGGAAAACTTTTCTTTTTCCAGACGAGTTTACATATATGGATAAAATTTTCAATGGCTTTTCTTCTCAATCCTCCATTCCACCTCTTCATCTTCTGTGCTTTCACATATATATTTCTGTCAATTAAACAATTTTATTGGTGAACCAACGTCTCTCAGATTTTGTACACCCAATTCATGAAGTAATTTGGTAATTTGAAAATGTTTAATGCCTAAATGTCATGTAATTGGTAGTATAAACTTTCTATTTTGTAATATACTCAGTACCAACATGTCACTTTCAGGCAGGAAGATGCTCAGGAATTTCTGAGCTTTGTAATGGATCAAATGCATGATGAATTACTGAAGCTTAAAGGACCGTCTTCAAGTCTTAATGGTAGCAAATCTTCTCTGGTTTCTTCTGTGGAAGATGATGAATGGGAAACTGTGGGGCCAAAGAATAAATCTGCTGTAACAAGGACTCAAAGCCTTGTTCCATCAGAATTAAGTGGTATATTTGGAGGACAGCTTAGAAGTTTGGTGAGAGCTAAAGGTACAAAATATAACTCTAATGTATTAGTGAAGGAGTTTGTTTTTGTCTTAACTGTCAAATCAATTAAGAATTTTTGGAATTTCATATGATTGGTCTGTTGTATCATGACAGATGTTTGTAATTCTGAACTTTTACTTCCTTTTTTCTTTTTGTTCTTGCCAACATCCACCTTTTCCATTGTTGATGCCAAAGCTTGGATGAGAGAATGTAAAGTAAATGACATTTATGGAAAAAAAAATGATAATTACGATGATTTATTTTTTGTTATTTAGGAAATAGAGCTTCTGCCACTGTTCAACCATATCTCCTGCTCCATCTTGACATTTATCCAGATTCTGTTCATACCATCGAGGATGCACTTCACTTGTTTTCTGCACCAGAAACCTTGGAAGGGTATCGAACATCACTCACTGGAAAGGTATTTAGCCTTTAACACCACCATACTTTGATGTACAACGTTCATTAATATTATGATTTTTATAAGTGGACTATGATACCTTAGTACTCCTAAATAGTTGTCATCTTTTATGTTCTGTTACCTCTTGGGTACACATGACTGTGCACCCTATACTCAGTTATAATGTGAGTACCAAATGGTTCATGCTTAACAGTGTTAACATCAAGTTTTGTCGCCAAGTTGTTTCACTTCTTCAAAACTTGTGCCTTTAAATATTTTTGGCTACTTGTGATAGAAAATTATGAAATTTATATTTATATGATGGTTCATAATTCACTTTTGTTTACCCTAGCTTTAGAAATTTTGTTATACCCTAGCATGTGTGGAGCTTCATGTTTTCTGACCCTCAGTGGTTCTATCTTTTTTTTAAAAAAACTTTCTCTATTTTGTATATGTATAGTTGTTTTTGGAAAACTTGGATTTTTTGTTTAACCCAATCCCTTTACGACGGTGTTCTTGTTCCTTAGCTGCCCTGATTAAAACAATCTAGTGTCACATAGGTACATGTAATGAAGCTTGCCGAGGAGCTAATGCCAAAATTGTAGCTACTTTGTTTTCCATGGTCTTCATATCTTTGTCATGTCTACACCAAATTATTAATTTTGGCAGCATAGGAAGTCTTATTTTTTGTAGTCATAAATTTAATATAACTGTTTGAAAGACCCATCTATCTTCAGTCCACCTTTTGTACTTTGTAATGATAAACTTTGGTTGTGTTGGATGATATACTTTCTAATACTGCTATTAAAATATTGGTTTTAAATTTCTTTCAGGCTGGTGTCGTGACTGCAAGAAAATCTGTACAAATAGTGACACTCCCAAAAATATTGATATTGCACCTGATGCGTTTTGGTTATGGAAGCCAGGGAAGCACCAAGTTGCATAAGCCTGTGCACTTTCCTCATGAGTTCGTATTTGGTCGTGACTTGCTCGTTTCACCTTCTACAGAGGTAATGTAAAGAATGCATCTGATTTATTCTCAGTGATGCACTGATTTTTATTCTTGGAGGGAGGTGGCCTTATAAATTTGTTTCTTATCTTTAAGATCACATCTTTCTCTTGTTCCGTCAAGAATGTTTGTAGAAATTTGGAGTCTCCACTAAAAGTAAAATAAATTTTGGGAATATTTTTGAAATGATCACATCATTGTGATCATTGCTTATGGGAGATTTCTTTTTCATTACTTCCCTCTCCCTTTTAATCTGAAGTAACTAATTAGAAACAATAATATGGATGGATGGCTAATTTTCTGGACATTTCTGTTTTCTTACTGTGAAAACAACTTTCTAGTGTACAAGTTCAACTAAGCAAGCAAAGTAGAAATTTACTGCTGTTTTAGAGAAAATTTTTCAACTTGATACCATAAAAAACCTGAGACTGCATGAAGCTCTTTCTTGAAAAAGAGCATTTATCTACTTTTAGTGAATTTTGAAAGCTACTTTGAATGTATTTTTAGACTAATGATTATTTGATTTCTCCACTGAATTTGTCCTTGCAAAAAATTAAAATTGCTTGTGAGTACTGGTATTGTAACGTAATCTTTCACTGACCTCTCCAGATTTATATTTAATTAGAACCCTGGGGTATTATTAATGTTGATTGGAAGAGGGCATGGTGGCTGATTGATATTTATGCTTCTGCAGGGTCGAAGGTATGAACTTGTTGCTACGATTACTCACCATGGAAAGGAGCCTTCAAAGGGGCACTACACGGCTGATGCTCAATACTCCAACGGTCGGTGGCTACGATTTGATGATGCATCTGTCTTTGCCATTGGAGCAAATAAGGTGCTGCATGATCAGGCATATGTCCTTTTCTACAAACAGATGTGAATGTGAACATAATACAAATGTTGTTCTGTCGATATTTACTCCCTTTTGCACCTGAGAGAAAAACATCACTCCCCTTTGAGGAAGGATTGGCAATTGATTAATGCCCTGTATGGAGAAAATGTGAGTGATTTTTTATTAGTTGGTCAAGCTCAATGTGAATTGCTCTGGGGTCAGATTGCTAAGGTGTCATAAATGGTGGATCCAATCTAGTTTGTGATAAGAGTAATTGTTGTAACATTCTTTTTCTTGTCATTTTGAACTGGAGAAGTTTTGTAATCCTAGTTTAGTAAATGGACATGTATTTATGGTAACAGATTAAAGGCTTATAAGAATGCTGCAGATTATGAAGTCCCACTGGCTTGCTAGAGATTGGGATCTAAAGCTATGAAACTTCAGCTCTGATTTTTTTCTCGTTGATTTGGTGCTGAATATTACTGTTTTTTTTTTTTTAATTAATGAATGGACCTTTGAATTTCCAGATGCTTTGTTAAAATCAAAATGGACATTGGCTTATCCTGTCAAATCCAGGCGTTCAAGTTCAATTGTTAAATTCTGCGCTTTTCCACCGTGTCCTAGCTTCTTACCCATGATACACCATTTTTTTTAGGGTCAATATGTTACAAAGCATTGTTTTGTTCATCGTTTACCCAGCAATTGACTTGAGTTTCCCAAGCGATGGGGCCATTCGGGCTCAGGAAAAAGCAGCCCCAAAATTTTCTACACATTTTGGGTGGCCCTTCTTCCATGCTTCCTTGTTTCCTTTTGGGTCAACCATGCTTTCTTGTTTCGGGTTCTTCCACTTTGAAGGATTAGTTGAAACATGTTCTTAATTTCTCACACTGAATTGGCAGACCATATTTTAATTCAAAAAGTGCATCGTAAAGTCCAACCTATCTTTCATTTAAAATTGTTACTTTTCCGAATACCTTATAGCCTGAAATATTTATGAAAACTAGTGACTTTCAAATTAGTCCGCAGGCAGGCTGCACCTGCAATGAATTACTTTCGAATTTCCTACTTGATTTCTTTCTCATGGCTCTCAGACTTGCATCATTGTTCTGCTCACAAAAAGAATAGGACAGCATCTTTTGATATTTTAAGAATAAACAAAGGGAAGAACCAAAACGGCTACTCATTTACATCAATGGAATATACCATTTTTTATGTTTTTTAATGTGGTCCAAACCCAGCTTACAAAAGTATTGCTTCAGGAGAGCTAAAGAAATTAGGTTGTCCTGCGTGCTGGTTAGTGAATGGTGGCTTTTTATATAATTTTAAGCAATGACTTCCCTTTCCCTTGTTTTTAAGACTTTCCGTGGTCCATCCAAATAAATATGTTTCTTTTGTACCAAATGGACGGTGAAAGAGCGTCAAGCTTACTCTTACATTTAGGCACAAAGGATCTCCCAGTCGTTAAAGTCAGTAACTTCTCACATTACTTCTGCAGAAACAACATCCCCGGAGTATTTTATATATAAGAGAACATAAACTTGTAACATTACCTTTTCAAAAGGAAAAACAAAATTCGCTTACTAAATTATGAGTTTACTTTTCAAAGAATCAGAAAACTGAATTTTACTTTGGCGGTTCCCATTGTTTTCTCAATTCTTCCTTGTTTCTTGCCACTTTTTCTGTCCAGTTACTGATTTCCATGAAAGAATATCACAAGTTTTGGTAATCCTTGCTTTGATCATGTTTTTCTGCTGATCTGCAAGAGCAACCATGCCTCAGTGTTTTAGAGATGTAATACAAGAACTATTGGATTATTGGTACATGACATGATATCAAAAATGAAAATTAAGGAATCCTGCTTCAGGAGGGGGGCACATTAGAGATGTAAATACATAACCATTTATATGTTCACAGGTCCCTTCTACGCTATCAGAACACGTTTATACTTGTGTCACATTTGTCTCGTCTAAATAAGTATGTTAATTTACATAATATACCAAATCCAGTGACTGATGAATACAACAAAAAGACATCATAACAAAGAACACAGGAAAAGATTCCTTGAGTCATTAATAACAGAATTGTTTGTCGCCAGAATATATATTTTGTTTTTCTATTCTTATAGTTATTTGTTTTATTTGTTTTGGCTGCTGAAGAGCTTACTTATATGATATTTGGAAACATTAATCTTTTAAACCAAGTGCAATGCTTTGTAGTCCTTTTCCTAGGTCAATTATTGTCCTAAGCGAGCACTTAAAAAAGATTACATGTCCATTAAGCTACGAATAGATGCAACGTGGTAATGCAACCAACAAAAGGACATAATTTATTTCCATTGATTGAATCCTTTATAGGCATTAGTTACAATTGTATACAAATATAAAAAATGAAATTTAGAAACAAAGGTATAACCAAACCACTCTGCTATGTCCCCCTAATTTCTTCACTGAAATAATAATAAAAGTAAACCAAGCCCCCTAATTTCAACCTAAAACTCTACAATCAGCTCAGGAAAAAAAAAAAAAAAACGAAACAAACACCAATTGTAAACCAAAAAGCAAAACAGCAATTTCAAGACACAAATAAAAGCTTCAATTTTGCCGTTCCCCTCGCTGTTTGAGTGTGAAGTAACCTAGGACAAAATGAATCAAGAAGGAAGCACTGAAGACACTGTAAAAAGAGATCCTGTGCTCCATTGCTCAAACCTTCCTAACACTGGATGATGGATTCATTGAGTGTTGTAGTGTTGTCCTCTATTTGTGCATTATTATGCCTTGGAACCCACCAAACTCTCACGCTCTTGTCAAGGCTTCCACTGTATAGTAAAAAGCCACCACCAATTCTATTAGATGAGGCTTGCAAACACTTCACTGGCCCTTCATGGCCACTTATGATCCCAACTTTACAAAGCTTACCAAAAGCTTCTCTCCTCCAAATACCAATGGTTTTATCCGCTGAGCCACTGCACAAAACCTCCCCCGTTAGGCACATACACAAAACAGCCATTTCATGTGCCTTGGTCTCAGAGACAAGCTTCCAACTCTCAAAACTCCCACTTCCACTCCCCTCCCACCCCATAACAAAACCATCCGAACCCCCTCCGTAAACCCATTTCCCATCATCAGAAACAATGACAGAATTAAAGGAAACATCTTTATGACCCTCCAAAACCCCTCTCAAACAATGTGACCCTTTCCCCTCCTTTCCCCAAGCCTTAATCTTCCCATCAGCAGAAGCAGAATACACAACCCCTTTACACGTCACCAACCCATTAATGGCATCATCATGAGCCTTAATAGACTCCAAACACTTTAAATCCGAGAGCCTCCACACCTTAAGGGTCTTATCCCATGATCCAGAGTAAATAAACCCATTGTAAACTGTCAAGCAAGAAATGCTATCTGCATGTTCAATCCACAAACGCTTATGGTGCCTCCGAGTTTGGACATAGTTACTTTGCTTCATGAACTTGCCCAAATAGTCCTTGGTTGTGGGAAGAGTGTCAACAAGCTTGAACACATTCTCTGAACTCCTTGACACCTTCCAAACCCTGATCCTGCTATCTTGATGTGCAGTGAAAACCTTGTTTCCAACCGTTGCAAGGGCTTTCACAGACCCATCACCTTGGCCAAACTTTGCAAACAACCTTAAATCTGGTTGTTGCCACACTATGATATCCTTACCCTGTGAGGCACTTAGAATGAATTCGCCGCACAGGGCCAAGGAAGAAACTGAGCCAACGTGGCCTGAAAGAACCGCCAATGATCGGTGAGAATGGGAGAACCCAGAAACGGGAATGCATGGAAGTTGCAACCTCTGAGAAGAGAAGGGACTCTCATCGCTCTCGCTGCTGATGCTGCTACAGCTACTGCCACTGCTGCTACAAGTTGAATCCATTGGTGTACAAATTTTGGTTTTTGAATCCATTGGAGGGTAAAGTTTGGTTTTTGCAACAAGGGAATTCATTTTCATTGAAGGAACCATAACGGGTCGAAGGAGCGTTGCCGTGGGAAAGAAAATAAAGCAAAGGGGGAATGAGGAGAGAGAGAGACAGAGAGAGAGGTTCCTTGTTGACAAGGGAAATGTTATGTTATGTTATGTTATGCTAGTGTTAATAATAGTATAATTTTAAGTGTGTGGGACTCGGAAGGATTAAGGAATTGGCTGAGGTGCAACGGCTACCTTGACTAGAGAGAAGAGAGAGAGAGAGAGAGAGAGAGAGAGAGTCAATTCTTGAGGACCAATGCAATGTTACATTGTTATGCCCCTTTTGTAATGCTGCATGTTTGAGCTGTTACCCTCTTTTGGGGCATTTTTTATTCTACCAATTATCTCCTGCCACGTGGAAAAATGCCAAAAGTAACCTGCTTTCCAATTCAGATTCAAGGACACTTGAGCCCACCCTTTCTTTAACTTGTCTTCTATTTTAGGAAGTGTTTTTAAATTTTTTTATTATTAATTGCAATAGTAATTGCAGAATTACTTTCATTTCTACATGTATATCAAATTTTGGACTGACATCTTTGATATTTATTTTATTTTAGTATTGAGTTTAAATTTAATTTGTTAAGAAATTTTATGGTTTTATTAATTATTAATAAATAAAATCACAACAAAGATATATTAATTGTAGAAATATTATATTTGTAAAATTTGTTCATTTTAATTTTTTAATTATAATTAAAAAATGAATTTTTTGTATCATTATCTAACAATTTATTTATACAGCATAATGACATTTATATTGGGATAAAGTTTATAAATTTAACAAATTTATTATCCTCGATCCTTAATTGAGTAGAGACCGGATAATTTCACCTCTGAGGCAGATATCTTAATCGTAAATTATGTCTTCTTCTTTTTTCTTCTTTTTGGTCAACTCTTTCTTAATTACTGTACAAAAATGGCTGAATTGTTTTGCATGATATTGATTGCACCATCCAAAGTGGGTTGAGTGTGGATCCAAATTGGAATTTTGTTTTCTTAAAAGTGTAAGAAAACTAATATTTTCACATCGTTTTATTTATTTATTTTTATTTTCTCATATTTTAAATCTTTTTCTTCTTTTTAATCATATTATTCATTATATTTTTTTAAAAAATTCTTTCTTTCTTTCTTACTTCTTCTTTCTTTCCTCTCTTCTCCCACTCATTTTACATTCCAAAAATAAAGTGTCAATCGATCATTACTCGAAGTGTAAAGATGAGACCTTAAAGTTACTTGAATTTTTATATTATTGCACTTCTTGGTATGGTAAATTTGCTAGCCATTGATTCCAGCACTGTAGGTTTTTTACTTTTTGGTGGGATTTAAAAGATGGATTTATGGTTAATGAGATTGGTAGAGAGAGCAACAATTTTTGTTATTGTTAGCTCACAAGAATCACGTCAACATAACCAACTCCACATATGTTTATTTATTAATTCATGAGAAATAACATGAGAGAGAAAAGATGCAGAGAAATGACATGAAGAAATAGAAAAGATGCAGAGTTACTTACTTTAGTTTTAGGATTGTATTTTAATGTTTTAAAGTTAGGACCACAGCACAGGTTCCTATTATTGACTTACAGAGACCTCTCCGTTTTACATAGATTAATTAACAAACAATTGATTGAAAGTGGTCGGCTATAAGCATCCATTCTTTAATTGAAATAAACATAAAGTAAACATGTGTATCCACTAGTTTAATCTTCCATCATTACCACCTAAGTATTTTACAAGAGGACAATGTGTTTCCCAAGAAATAGGGGAGAAATTACAGGGAAAGAATATCATCAAAATAATCTTTATATAATATAACCATTAAAAAGTTAAAAGAAAAGTTCCATATGGTGATTCTATTACTATTTAGTGTTAATTGACAACTAATAAAAAAAATCCTAGTTTGTAATCTTGTATAACTATTATATGCGGCATGCAAAAAGAGGTTGAAGTGTGTGGACAATTTAGTATACCTCATTCACCTCCCTCCTCCTAAAATAGAGTATATTTCATCATAATTTGCAAACACATTGGGAGTGATATATCCCTCTTCATAAAATTTATGTCAAAGATAGATACAATATTACATAATTTTGTTATAGTCAATCAACTACTCTAAATATATAAATTGATTCACTACAAAAAATTGATTTGTTCATTTCTTCCTTTATATGTATGTTTCATGAATACTGAACTAATTTATTTTCTAAATCCCTGCATGATTGACATTATGAGGAGAATATTTGGAAGCAATAATACTTAGTGTGTGTGGTAGGTGAGTTTGGGAAGCTGGTTTGGTATTTTAGCTAGGAAGAATAAATTTGAACATCATGAATTGAATTCAGTGTCTCCAATGAGATGCCAAGCATGCTTTTTGATAACTTGTACTTTCAGATGCTGTAATTTTCAGCCATTGTGACTTGAAGGAAGTTCCAATATCTACCTTGGTTCTTGACATCTGAATTCTTATAATTTAAGCATCTTGCAGGTTTTCAGTAACTAATGTTTTAAGAAAAAACATAAAATAAGAGCAGTTTGAATTAACACTTGTTATGCCTATAGAGCTTGATGTAAAATAGCATGTTTCAGTAACCAATGAGCCAATGTTCTTTCAGATTGTTGAAAGTGTAAATTGATTGGGCTACTTGATAAATAAACATTTACATCCAATAAAGTTCCAAATTGATTTGATTAAGATTACGATATTTAAATAATACCCTAGTATGAGAGGAATGCATTTGGACATTCCTTCTTGAAAACGTGAATATCCACTTTTAGCAAACATGGAAAATCTCTGCTTCTGATATATGGCACAACATTACTGGTTTAACTCGTGGAAATTAGTTTTAAATTTATTGAACAGTTGAGTGATGGCCACCTGGAGGAGCATAAATATTAAAGTAAATTGAGCTTAGAAAAAAGGGTCAGAAAAGTTTGGAAAGTGCATCATAGTTAATGTGATTTGGTAGAAAGCAACAAGTTATGTTATTGTTAGCTCACATGAATCACATCACCACAACAAACTTGACTTTGTTTTCTTACTTATAAACTATTGTGAAATACATGTGTGAGAGAGATAAAGAGAGAGGTGCTAACTTCTCTAGTATTTTATAGAGATCAATAAAAATACTGACTGAAGATGGTCGGCTACAAGTTTCATCTATATTTTAATAAATTCTAATTAGGAACTAACCAAAGATTATCTTAAGAAACAAGAAATTACAGACATAAGTGAAAAAAAAGTATATGATGAGGATTGAAATCCCTTAATTTGGATCTGCCTCCAAAGATTATGCTGACATGTTGGTGATGGTGAAGTGTATAATCAAGCAAAAAATTTAGCCAAGTTAAATTCTTATGAGATTTTTCATTTTGTGGACCAGGATTAGTTTCATCACAACATATAATATAAATTGATTGAGGGTGTGATTTGTTTATTTAATTTTTCTTAAGCCCTTGTACAATGAACTGAAGCATCTGATGAAGTAAATTCGGATTGGGCTAAAAATATTATAAGAAGAAAGTTCCAACATTAGCAACCATACCTATTGACTTATCAATATTAATATTTCAAGAGTTATTAAAAAAATTCTGTCAATGATGAGATATTATTATATTATAGAATTTATATTCTCATCAATCAGGAAAATTTTCCTCAGAATCATATGTATAGAAAATTAAGTAATTAACATTGCACTAGCATCATTTGAAAGTTTTATCTACTTCATGCAAGAATTTCCATAATGGAAAGCATTCATATATAATAGAAGAATTTATATTATATACATTCTACTAAAGTTATTTTATTATCAGGGGTAACGTGGTATAATCACTAGGAATTTGCCTCAATTACAACCAGTACCATACCACCAAAAACCAAGACATAATTTCCAGTGTTTAAAACGTATAAAATGGCCGAAGTTCACCAAGTAATCAGTTAATAAGATATGAAGTTGGTTGTTCAAAACGTCTCAATATCATTCAGCTTGTAATTGAGATCATCTATCTGAAAGTTAAAATTGGAAAGATGATGCATGACCAGGGGCTTAATGAATTTTTTTAATAACTATTTATTAAAATAAAAAAAAAACATATTTCTTGAGGCAAAATTTTGCCTCATCAGACTATATTTCATATTTAAGATAGATGAAATTAATTTTTTTTATTTTTAATTTATCCATTTCATCTAAAATAAAATAGAATCAGCCAGAACCTGATATATCACGTTTTTCATTTATTATAGAGACAAAAAGGTTAAATAAAAATTTGAATTTACATATTTAAGTTAGATGTGATTAGTAGTAAGAAGAGAAAGAAAATTAAATGAGTTGTATTGTGTGAAAAGTGTAGAGTTATGCAAAAATAATTAAATAATAAATAATGTCGATAGGGAAAAGAGAGAAAAAGAAGTGAGTTGTGAAGTAATGTTGATAGCGGAAAGAAAGAAAAAGAAGTGGGTTATGGATAGGTGGTGGAAAAATTAGTGAATTGTGTTGTATGAAACTTGTAGAGTTAGAAAGCAAAAATAATGAAATAATAAATGACGTTGATAGTGGAAAGAGAGAGAAAAAGACAAATAGGTGTGCAAACTTAAATTTAAATTTTTATTCAGTCTTTTCGTCTTTATTATATACGAAACTCGTAACATGTGTCACGATTTTATTGATTTTATCTCTATTTTAGATGAAATGAGTAAATTAAAATAAAAAAAAAATAATTTTATCTAATTTAAATATAAAACATAGTTTGACGTGGCAAAAATTTATCCAAACAGATAATATATTTTTTAATTTTATTTTAGTAAATAGTTATTAAAAAATATTAAAAAATTCATTAAGCACATGAAAGAAGGTTAAGAAATTCCGAAGGATATTCATTGGAGGTTAAGAAAACAACATATGGGCCAGTGAAGGAGAATGCTTAAGAGAACAATAAGGACTGCTAGCCCAATTAAAAGAAGGTCCCATACAAAGAGGAGCCCAAGTCACCACCCAAAAAATAAAAAGCGGACCAAAGTGAAAGTGACAGCATACGTCTCCGCCTTCAAGCGCTCTTGACCCTTCACTTAACAGCGGAAACTATGGACAAAAAGATACATTTAAAAATAAGATAATATATACTATTTTTCCTTATCATATCTCACGAGTTGAATAACAACGTTATTATTTTTTGTTAAAAATAATTTATGAAAATAGGTGACATTTTTTTATTTGGCAAGACTAGTATTGTTCAGGTGAGTAAATACTTGGATTTGTGCAGCGTTTAAACATAATAAATGAAAATTTTTATTTAATTTTTTTATAAAATAAAAAAATTATTAGAAAAATATAACAAACTCTTTTAGTTTATTTCTATTAAAACGTAAACTTTATTTTTCGTGAATTAAGTCACCTTAAATGCTCAAATGCGTGTTTATTGTGATTAATTTATGCTGACAATTGAGAATGTTATTACCATAAGAAGAGACAATGGTTAGATGTTATTCCATTCTTGATAGTTGATGCAACGTAAAAAAGGTCACGTTCTATTTGGACCAAAAAAACAAAAAAACCTCGTGCTATCTATTTGATTATCATGTCAAATAATTTTATTATATATATATATATATATATGTATATAATTATTTAAAAATATAAAATTTTATTCTTTAATTATATATATAAAACAACAGAGTCAGCCCAGCAGGAGTGTATTTTGGTGGTACCAGAGAAAACACTGTTTTGGACCAAAACTGTTGATAATAAAAATCAATTCAATTCAAATTTGAATAATGATTATGGTCTTTTAAATGTTTTTTAATTGCCTTATCACTTTCGTATTTTTTGTTAATCCCATTATTCATTTTGCATCAATTTCAAAATTTTAATATTTTTATCCAATTTATAACAAATTCAACTTCTGTTTTTATTTATAAAAAGTAGTTATTAAATATTAATACTTTTCATTTTAAAATAATGATATATTTTAAATGCATTAATTACTAATTTTATATTTTTATTTATTATAATATTTGTATTAATGAGACACTTATCCATTATCACTTAAGTGAATATATTTATTTATTTATTTAATATAAAAGATACTAATTTTAGCATTTAGTATTATGTGTATTTTTAAAATAAAGTAAAAATTTGATGATATATAATTACTTTTTTATTGGCTTTGATGAATTAAGTATTTATTTTCTATAAATATAAAACTATTTTTTAACTAGAAAATGATTTTTTAATGTATGTCCAATTGACACGTTAAAAAGTTAAAATTAAAAAGGTTTTATTAAAAATGAAAATATTAATTATTTTAAAATCATAAAAAGTATGCAATATATATTTTTTATGATAATTTAAAAATGCTTCTTAACATTTGCCCCTGGACACGTGTTAGAAAAACCAATTATAAAATGTATGATTTTTCAACACATGTTAAAAAGTTTAAAATATAAAATTTTTATTAAAAATATTTATCATCTTAAAATTATAAAAAAACAATATATACTTTTTACAGTAGTTTAAAAATATTAATAATAATAGGGCTTTTAGCCCCCTTGATTAGCAAAAAAATAAAATAAAAATTAATAATATATATTTAATATTTTTTAACATACACAATAAAAAACAGTAAAAAGTAAATGATTTATTTTTAAATTATTAATTTTTTAAAATTCCCTTATTTCGTTAGACTTTGGATAATCTCTCAATTATCAATATCATGTTTTCAATGGAATCTTATTATCAAACTTGTAAGACCTTACTAAAGTCTGAGTCAGTCAACTTGTGAATGATAATTGAAATCACCTGTGTCGAACATAGTGAAATCCATTTCGATAAATAAACTTTCCATTACATCTTGTACATTAGTTTTGTAATATTAATTCATGTGCCTTGTTTGGAAATTAGCTTTGTATTTGCTTCAAACTAGTCTAATTGGTTCTTTTACCCTTCTATATTTAATGTATAACTAGCAAAAATTCACGTTTACTTCGAAGTTATTAGTTATATTTTTTTCGTTGGATTCACATTTACAGGCTTTCTAACTTTCTAACGTGTTTCCAAACACACAAGAATACAAGTTTTCAAGCTGCATGAGTTCATAGTTTAAAGAGAATTCTATTTGCAATAGAAAACCATGTACAATATAAAGAGTGAGAAGTTGATGGTCTGCAATTGTCTCTATGTTTCCTTTGTCTTCGAACAACGTGTGTGTATTTATCTGTCTATTCTATCTATAATAGATGTTTCACTTATATATGTTTTTTAAGTGAGCTCTCACTTTATAATGCGGAAGCTGTCGTTAACAGCTCTTGTTTCTGAGATCACAAACTGCAACAAAGTAGATGATAGTCAATTTAATTTGTTAAAAAGGAAAAAAAAAAGAAGTATGAAGTGATTCTAAGAGCACAAGAGAACTGAAGATAATAGGAGTATGAAAAGTTATGAAACAATGAATGGTAATTTTATTTCATTGGTAGCTATAATATGAGTGTGTTTAGTTGACTTGGGACATCCTTGGTAAGAATGAAAATTTGGAAGGTGGTAAATGGAAGAAATATAATGGGGGCTACATTAATATTAACTGTTCCAATTTTCACCTTCACATTTTCACCCAGATCAATTACCAAGTACCCCATTAGAAAGAAAATGAGCCTTAGAGCAACATTGATGCTTAAAAGAACCTAATCAACACTTGATTTATTGTTTGAGAAGTCATATGAAAGTGTGACTTCCATTATAGATCTGTTGTCTTTTAGAGGGATTTATAAAATTTGCTCTGAAAGGGAAATTATTGATCTTTGCATTTGGGAAAATATTTTGTAGACAGCTATTGGGATGTCTACCCCTAGAGAGAGAGAGATTATGATGGGTTATGTAATGTGATAGGAAGAGATTCCACTGAGAAATCCTTGACAGAAGTATATTTCCTTTTTCTACTTTGGCGATATTGAGTTGGAGTATAAGCATGTAAACACTAACCTCTAAGTTTAACTCTTTTCTAGTAGCTTGTGCTCTTAAATAACCAAACTCGGAAATCCTTTTCAGGCTCCAGCTCCTTGCCTGTGATTAAAGAAAATATACAATTTGATTGCTTAGAAAAAAAACATAAGCACAGTCCTTAAGATATGGATGCACAATATGAATAACTGTAATGTAATTTTCCTGCAAGAAGTGAAAATATGAAGAAAGTGTAAAGAATCTGGAGGAAGGAGAATGATGAAGAGATAATTACTTACATTCCTTGAGAACTGGTCTAAGGTAAAGCCAGCCATGCCAATGACAGCATGCACGGGAGCAGTGTAATTACTGTTATCATATGTGTCTACTCCATTTTTATCTTTTGTAGGCATGGATTTACATTCATTTTGATACACGGAACAAGTTCTCTCATAATTATGCACATGGCCGAAAAGAACCAAATCAACCTGTTTCATGTTCACAATTCAGTTTACTACTACTAGAAGGAAATGTATAACAAGGCCCAAGGGAGCTTGATTTGCTAACCTTATTTTCCAATAGTAATGGCTCCACATCTTTAACAAAATTGCCATCAACAGAAGAAAATCCACTGTAAGAGGTGTACATTGGTCTGTGTCTGCATGTAAAAATGTCATGAATATGCTTAGTAGATTGATCCCAAAGTTGGGACAACAACCCATTTTTTGAAAATGTGTATGACTCACCCCATGAAGACTAGCCAAGGTGTTTTCTGTCTATTAACTGATGCCATGTCCTTTTGCATCCATTGATACTGAAATAGGGAAGTTATACATATTATGTAACCATTCAATTGAGCTAGAAATATAAGAAACAAAATAATGTCTTCCCTCATTTTACCTGCTCAGAATTCTTTGACCAGTCATGCTCTGTTGATATTACTGTGAAATGAACACTTGCTTGTTCAATAGAGTACCAAGGCTTATCCTTTGCTGCAGTTGGCATTGGAAAGTATGTTTCATAAGGTACTCCGCATTCCCCACCGGAGTCGGGAGTGACATACACTGAACCGGAATCTATATAATCCCTGAGTACAAACAAGAAGTCTAAAAATGATACCATAACATTTTTTTTTTCTATTTTTCATGAAATTTACAATGCATGTCATTCATTTGAGTACAAAAATTAATAACATGCATTAAATTTTAAATATTCATCATTCTACAATTTACAGGAAATTAAGTAATGATTTTCTGGGAACTTTGTCTAAATGCTTCAGGTAATAAAGTAGATATTTGAGGAAATTTCAAGAAAATTTGTTGGAAAGCATTATCATTCATGTGAATGCATTACCTTTCATGGTTCCCTATTGTTGTCATATAAGGAAGTCTTGAAGCTACTGGATTAATAAGGTAAAGGAAGAAATCCCATTCTGCAAGAAAACCTGTGGCATAGCTTATGTCTCCAATGTGAAAGACTGAATTTACATTGTTAGAATTCACTTCATTGGCTATTGCTTTAATAACTGAAAGAGCTCCTGGCTGTTTGAAAAACAAGACAAAAACTATTCAGTACATACTGATGATGTGAGAGAAGCCCAATGACCTCCAGCAAAATACCAAGACCCTCATCACTAGTCCAATCCTAGTGGCCTATGTCAAGATGCATCTGAATTATAGATGCTAATTTATTCGAAGTAGCAGTTTACCTGAATGTAGTGTTCTTCTGAAGCATCAAGAGGAGTCTTGCCCATATCACCATATGCAATGAATCTGAGCTTACCTGATCCTCCAGCAGGTGGAGTTGAAAACTTGATTTGTTCACTCCAACCAACGGAGTCACTGGACCATAAGCAGAAGGACAATATCAATTCATTTTAATGAGGCAAATCACAATTCTTGAAATATATAGTGCACATATACAAATCTTGGAGTTTAGCTATATTAGTATCATTCCATTAAGTAGCCTAGCAGCTAAGTTCTTTCCATACTATTTTTAAGTTTGACAGATATTCGGTATAAAATCATATTAATGCATCTAACATGATAGAATAGATAGTTTATCAAACTATACCCTCAGTTTATTCCATGAAGTTCATACCTTCCATATCTGTAGGAGAAGGTGCTTGAAGGTTTAAGTCCTGTCATAAGTACTGAATGAATGTATCCTGGATCATGCCATCCGAAATCCTTGGCAGGACTTGGCAAAATTGAAGCTGTAAATTTCGGATGGAAACAAATAATCATGAGCTAAACGATTATAAAAAATGTTCCTTATCAAAATAACGTAAAATACTAAATTACTTCACTCAACTGTTCGTTCACCCTTCAAATTAAACTACATAATAGAAGCAAACTTAAAACATATGAAGAAGGGAAGTAAAGCTATGACTCACTGCACATATCATCTTGTGAAAATGTAGTGACTGCTGAAGTAGCTGTTTTTCCACTTTCATATTGGACTTTCTGAGGTTCTCTGTCTCCACTAACCCATGTCAATCTCATCTACCCCACCATTCATTTAAGAACCATTAGCTTTTATCCAAACCCATTTGAGAATTAGTGTGTGATTGAAAATATTATAACAGTGAATTCAACGTAGAAGTTACAACTAAATAGCAATAAAATAAATGTGGATCCTTAAGCTTTTGAACACAAATTAAATCACGCTATTAGTTTGAAGTAGAAAAAGTAGTTTGCTACTTACTGAAGTTCCAGTTGAATCTATGCTTGAGAGATGTCCATAGAGTGGCCGCTTAGGATTAGCAAAACCCAAAGGCTTGGACTTTCCCACAATGCAGGGTTCCACGAATCCACCGGTGAAGAACACAAACTCAATGTCACTTCTAATGTTGATAACATGAAACTTTATTGAACCACCGCAAGTTATGACAATGCATTTCCCATTCTGGTATTTCTTGCATTCTTTATTTCTGCAATTGAGGTAGTCTGGATCGTTTTTCATGTATTGTGCCTAGCATTTGTGTTAATTCGAAAGAACTTAGCATTGCAAAATTTACATGACATTTTCATGACTGGTGATCACATAAACTAACGTCAATTCTTTATCATATGATATATTTCGTAGTGCCCTAGCAATTTTCTGAAACATTTTCACGTGCCAATGTGATTACCTTTATGGTGCCTATTTAATTATTTTTTATTGTTGGTAAATACTTATGATATGATCAATGATAATGTTTTTTTAAGCTGTAAAGCACATGGAATTCATTGATGACAGAGATCACATATCCACAAGTCAAACTGAAGCATTTCAATAGGTACTTATTGCATTCAAACCTATCAACAATAGTGAAAGACGGCTTCAAAAAAACCACTAGTTAAAGACATTTGGCTCGGAGGAAAGATATGTTTAATTCGAAAAAAAGAGAGAAATTGATAATTAATAATTTTGCTTTTGCATGACTTTAAGCCTTTGTTTAACTAGTTCAGTAATAGAAGATTGCATTAGTAGATTCTTTTGTTTCATTGAGTATAGTCATTTTACCTGTTTAAATTGTTTTATAAGTTAAAGTTATAATCCATTTAAAATAAATTTAATTATAAAAAATATTTTTTTGTGTCATATATATATATGAGTAAAATCTTATTACACCAATGTAAATTTAAAAACTCTTATACTCAATTTGATTGAGTCTTTTATTTAATCTACATCTAACAAGTTATGATTTATTACTTCAATGACCATTAGATGTACGTTAAAGGAAAGACCCAGATCAAGTGTAAAAATTTTTAAACTTATACTTGTATAAAAATATCCTTCTTATATATATATATGAAATATGATTCATTGACACTAGGTGTAAATTTAAAAGACTTATACTAAATCTTAATTATATAAATAAATATTCTAATAGTTGAAAAATTACTTTTTTTTATTATATATATATATATATATATATATAATTTTGTTTATTATGAAAATGAGTTAACAAGCTCATTCGGAGTTTATGGCTTGTGTTGCATTTAGTTAGGTTAATTTTTGAAAAAACGAACCTCTTTAATGAAAGCAATTAAACTTTAAAATATTTAAAAAGCATTTTATATCCAATAAGTTAGTTTATTTTAAATAAATATACTTAAAATAGTTATTATTTTATTTATTTTTTTAAATGTCTTGAAATTATGTTATATATGACTTTAAAGGATTATACCCAATAACGTATTTAGAGATAAATTTTAAAAAAAAGTTTGTACCTCAAAGACACACACATATATATAAACTCTAACTTATTCTAATTTATTCTCACTCATTTCAACTCCATATGTCACGTTATCCCGTGATGGAAGAATCAAGCCAATGATCCTTCACAACGCAACTCGCTCCAATTATCTCATCCTTTATATTGAATGTAAACTTCACTTTCAGAGTATCAATCCTTTAAGTTACTTTGGTGTATCTTTCAATTAATGAGAAATCTAATTATGGGGCCTCGAACCTTTAGCTTGTAGTTTTCAAGATTATCCATTTTTTTCTGCTTTTGGACTTTTCAATCAAAACACACTTTAGCATAATATGCATCACAAAATTTTATTTATGAATCTTGTTGCAGATAATGTGACCAAAAGCAAACCATATACGTTCTCTTCTCTGATCTCATCAAGAGCAAAAAATCAGTTTCTTGTTTATAATTATTAACGCAATCGTCTTCATTTGCAAGGAAAAAAAAGTGATCAGATGCAACCATCAAATCATCCAAATCACGAAAATGCTATTGTCCAGAGAAATTAGAAAAATATAAATTTGACAAATAATAACGAATAAGAATAAGCCTTATTCCACGTCACCAAAAATTGAATAAATTAACCAAATGAATAAATTTTATGAGAACGAAACAAGACCTCATACCATTTCTGAGAATAACTACAACACATTGCGTGACTGTAACGTAACTTTGACAATGTCTTCAAGATATCATAATTTTGACACCCAATTTTTTGGCTTTAATGCCCTTAGAAGCTATTTCTTATTCTTCCTTGACATACCAAAAGAAAATTTTACTTTGATTTAAAAAAGAAAAATTAAATTGATGTAAATTTCGTGCGTTTAGTTAAATTTTCATAAAACTCATTTAAATATAAGAAGTCACCACTATGTATAAATGTGAAACAATGGAAGGCAATTAATGCTGTTTATGCACAAATTAAGCACATGAAAAAATGAACTTCTTTCTTTAACCAAAAATGAATTGAACTCTTGAAAAATTATATTGCTGACGCCTGTACCTGTACAGTATATATTTTCTCATAATTATTTTTTATTATTTAGTAACTTTCTTTTATATTTTATTTTATTTTTAAAAATTAAATCAGAAAAAATAACCACACAAAAATAGATATTCATATTTTAAGGAAATGAGATTTCCCAAGCAAAGACTCAACGTTTGTGTGAGTAAAATTCCAATCCAGCACGTGAGAAATTAAATAGAACATTTATTTCCACATGCATGTAGAAGTATCTGATTTTGACACGTCAATATAAATATGAAGCGGATTCTAAATAATCTATAAGTGATATTTTATAAGCTTAAAAAAATGAAAATTTGATATATATAAATGTTACAGCAGAGAATGCAACGGAGAAGGAAAAATGTGTGTGGACTGGGTTGAAACTGAAAGGCGTCCAAGGCATGTACACATGATGAAAAGCGATAGCAAAACTGAAAAAGGTGCACATGGACAATGTGTGCACCGTTCAAAAGGAACGGGTCAGATTGCGTAAAGCAAGTGTCTATCAACATACAGTTGGAGGATACTTATCGGTCATGGGCAAGATTACATTACGGTGTAGTTACTGTTGAAATGAATTTTAATTTTTTAAAATATTATATGTATATATATAATTGTGTTCCCTTTAGTTTCGGTTGAAGAAGTAGTAGGAAAAAATAATGACCCTGCAAAAGATTAGTGCACAAGCTCACATGAGTAAATAATGGAAGTTTAGATAGTTTTAGAGAGATTTAGATTCATACCCATAAAAAAAGGTGGGAAGCGGTTTAACTAAAGATATATATTTTCAAAAATATCATGTAAAAAAAAATCATTCGGATATTAATTATATCTAATATTATTTTTTTTAAGGAGTAATTTGATTATTTACTTAATTATATCATATGAAAATTACAAGAAGACTTGACGGCAAAAACAATAACATCGTCAATTTACAAATGAATGGAAAGGACCACCTTGTAATGTGTCCTTTCTGTTAATTTTCATAAATATAAAAAATAATTAAGCTTGAAAATGATAGAAGAAATAGATTAAAAAAGAAGAAAAATAAATAAATACTGTGCATGTAATGTAATTACAGAAGCAAGTTTTGCACCATAAACCCGACAAAGAGAATAGGTGCCACATTTATGAAGTATGCTATGAATGAACAATATCATGAATGCAAGTTGTTCCATTTACTTTTTCATTTGTTGATCATACTCCATAAATTGAAAGATGCTATTAATCTAGCTGGACATTGCACAAACATCTCACTGAACAAATCAATAACCTCAGAAGAAAGAAAATGATTGAAAAAAGGTGGAGCTGCAGAGAATTATTAATTTAATTTAAAATGAAAAATAAAATATAAAATATAGTAGAACATTTGAAGCAGAGGAATGTGCATGAACACACCTTGACAGGGTAATGACAAAGCAGAGGAAGTTTGGCCGTATCACCAGTTTGTAGATAGAAGAAATCATTGAGAAGACACGATTTAACTCTGCATATGCAACAAATAAAACAAAACCAATTTCATGTTATTGGAATGTTCCATCATCATTATCTACAATCATGCATGTGTTATTCAATTCTTAGTTCTTACTCAGAATTTGAAGGTGATATCATTGCGACCCAATCACCGGGTTGAGGATTCGAAACGCCGGTGACGGTGACTGTGACAAACTGGTCATCTGACAAGCTAGAATTTGGACTCACATTAACTTGAAGATAACGATTTGAAGCAGAGCAATCCTTCAAAAATCGTCTATTTATGGTTCTGAATTCTGATAAGGCGGTGAAGTTGCGGTGTAGAAGTGTGGTATTGGAAATGACAGGGCCCAAAAGAGAGGGAGTGGGAGTTGCAGAGGTTGAAGAAGTGAGGTTAAGGAAGAGAAAGAGTAAAATGGAGAGAACCCAATTACGGGATTCCATGGAAGCAGGGGAAGAAGGAAAATATTGCATAAAGCCTTTGAGATTGTTGCATATATATATATATATATATATATATATATATATATATATATATATATATATGCTTGGTTTTGGGTTTAGGGTTTATATCAAACTTTGCATCACTTAAATGGTTATTATGAGACTTAGGATGTTTGCCAAATTAAACGTATTTTTAATGATTGTGTTAACTCATAATAATAAAATTTTTAATGTGTATTTAAAAATATAGGTTAACAATTAAAAATATTAAAATAAAAATATTTACACTATTAATTTTTTAAATTAAATTATTATTATTTGTTTGCATTTTTTATAATTTTTTATATTTTATAAAGAAAATATTGAATAAAAATATATTTTTTATCTTTAAAATATGAAAAATAATTATTAATTTTTTAAATGTATGTTTAAAGTTACATGTTAAAAGAAAAAAATACAAATATTTATTATCTCAAAGTTATAAAAAAATTAATACAGATTAATAATAATAAGTTTTCATTAAAAATATTTATTATATCTTTATAATTTTAAATTATTAAATATGTTTTTTAATTAAAAATAATTTGAAGAAGACAATGTCCAAAATTTTTTTTATTGAAATTGTATTAGATTATAAAAAAAATATTAAAAAGTGTATTTATTATATTTTAGACAATTTTTGTATATCTAGTTCTTTAAACATTGCCTTAAGCCATTGCTTAGCATTTACCATTTAGTTATAAAAAATGAGATTAATAAAATTGGAATATTGATTATACTTTTATATTGTTAACACAATAATATTAATTATTTAAATATTAAAGAATAAACCTATGAAATCCACTTTTCTAAAATGTGGACACAGGCCCATTATGGAACAAGTGATGGAGATGTTTGGCAGCTAAGTGCTAACATTTGAAGGAGAATAGTATGTTGTCTTTGACAAGAGTTTTGTCGGTTGAAGGCATGGGTGGAAGTAACAGCCTTTCATTTTTAATGGGTTATGATGCCAAGTTGTGTTTACATACACCCACTCTAGTGTTGGAGTTCACGCTAAGTACTAATGGAATAGAATTCTAGTTTGACTTTAATGCTCAGCGTTCATTTGGAGGCAAATCCATTCTATTTTTATCATTTTTCTTTCAACCTTTTCACACCAACGTTTCTAATTTCTTTTTCAAATATAACAAGGAGTGAGAGCATATCAATTAATTGAAAACAAAGATAAAGGGTTTTATGATTTTTGTTCTACTTACAACTTTTAAATTATTATTTTTTATGAATAATATTTGGGGTTAACTATTCATTTGAAATGTAATTTTTTAAATAAATTTAATACTTAAAAATAATATTTAAAATACTTTATAAAATGTGTGAAATTAGGATTTGAAGCAAGAAATTTTTAATATTTACAAGATTTTTCATTCGCTTCTACTTTTGGGCATTTCATTCAAAGCAAATTAGCAAAATATATATCACAAACTAAATTAAAAAAAAGAGAGGAGAAATTGCCACTTTTTTATTGGAATTTTGTTGCAGAGAGGGTGGAAAAAATGATAAAAAAATAATAAATAAAAATGTTTTTATCCCAACTAAAGAAAATGGTTGGAATTTCAAATAAATTAAACATCAAGTTACAACATAAAAAGATGAAATATTAGTTTTAAAAATACTTCTTTTTTTTTTTGTAAAACAACAATAACTTTTTTCTTACAGCAAATAAGAACATCACATAAAAGTTTGACTCTCAAATCATATTATAAAATCTGCAGAAATAAGAAAAAAAAATTACTTTTCAAGAAAAGCATTGTATTTGATGTGTCATAGAAGGATTCTCCTACTATCATTTGCAATTTCTTTTACATATTATCTATCTCTATAATGTTGTGGCTCAGATATATATAATTGTTGAACGATCAATTTGTTTCAATCTTCAAATTTAGTACAAGATATTCTCTCGTTTATTGTTTGGAACCCTTGGTGGACTGCTTCTTTCATCTTAAGGAAATATGTATCACAATCTCCCTTTTTTCTTTTCAGTGATAATTTTATTTTGATAATTTTTATAGTACTTTTAAGATAGAGGATGTTTTATGTTTTTCAGATGAAAATAATAAAAAGTAGAAATTAATAATTTATCTTAAAAAATACATAAATATCCTTTAAATTTAAAGATATTAGAATAATTATAAGCGTCAAATTTTAAAAAAAATTAAAATATTATTTTTAATTTACGAGAACATTAACAAGCATTTTTTTTTTTAAAGTCAAATATTCAAAAGCTTAACAACACTTACAAATAATAATGCTAAATATCAAGAGCATTACAACAATACACAATAAAAGATTAAACATGCATACTTAATGTTAAATATAATTTAGATCCTTTAAACACAAAATACAATTAAACTAACAAAAAGTTACAATTTTGCATACAAATTTAAGAAATAGGATTTTTCATTTTTTTCAGATTAGCACAAGCCTAAGAGTTACTTTAATGGATTTGAAGTAAGGGAAAAAAAAGAGAGTCAAATATAGTAAATGATGAACTATGAAGCCCAACCCACTAATTCCTGACAACGGTTCCGCAAGAGTTTAATGTGATTTTTCTATTTTAAATGAATATTGTGGGAGGATATCGCAAGAGTTAATGTTTCCATCCTAGGTTTTTCCAAACATGAATCAGTGTTCAAATATTGTTCATCTTGTTTTCTACTGCTTTGAAAAGGAATCTCGTCTTGTGCATGTCCTTCGTGCTTTTGTTTTCTACGTAACAAATATACAATTTTGAGGAAAGTTTTCGCGTCTCAACAGAAAGCAATAATCTTTTAACCATTCTTGTAAGGGCAATACATAGGAATTGTAGTTTGAGGCAAGGGACTCATCTTTCAAACAAAAGACTACTTTGTCTTAATTTCAACTATAAACAAACGTAGAGTGCTTGACTTGTATAGTTTCCTCTGAATAAAACTCAAAACGTAATATAAAACATCTCCAATGAATAGAAATAAAGATAGGATTTCTTCACAATTTGTATAACTTATATAGAAAAGTCTTTGGTCTCTGTAGAGTTATTTGTCAAGAAGAATTTGTTGAAATCGAAGGAAATCTCTTGTACAGGTTAATTATTCTAAATAGTTTATTAAACTTTAATTTGTCATTATAAAATATTTCTTAAAAAAACTTTTTATTACATTTTTAAGTGGTATTAAAGACTAAAATAAGTTATACTTTATAACTTTTTATAAAATCAAACATTGAATTGATTGTTATTCACTGTCTTAAAGTTTAAAATAAAACTTTAACTGTTGGTTGCACTCTCATGCTAAATTTTTAAAATTTAAATTTATTTATTCATTAATAATGCAAAATATTAGTAATTTAGTAAATTGTTATTATTATAATGAGTTGTTATTTTATTGCTTGTCGTGTAAAAATTATACACTAAAAGGACATATGATAAATTAATGAGACATTTTAAGGAAATTTACACCCTTAAGGATGAAAATAGACTTACTTAAGCTAGAAATTATAAAAGTAGGGTTGTTATATTATCTGTTATAATCTTTTTTATTAAGTCTAACTTAATATTTTTAAGAGTCTAATTTGGCTGGTTAGTTTTTTTAATGATCTACTTCATATTAAAGCTTTTAATAAATCATTAAACCTATTTATAAAGAGGCTGGAATGAAATAAAAATTTGCTTCATTTGTATAACCATGTTCAACCTCCTTTGTAAGTAATGATCATTGTGTCTTCTCATATGACTAGTGTTGGATCATTTTCTTTTAGTAACAAATTTATCTATACAATATTTGCAAACAACTTTCTTTATATCTCTAGTAATTTTTATTTCATCAAAATTTGTCAAAATAACTGATGTTTTATGTCTCTTTCTCTTGATGCTATATCTTTATTCTCTTGTATGTTAAATTGTAATTGGCTTGAATTCAATGATGACTGATTGTTTACAAGTACAAATACAACAGGAGTAGATGAAATTGTTTCATTACTTTTAATTGGTGAAGACATTTTATTGACATGAAAACAGGGAGAAAAAGAGGATAAAAAATTAGTAAAAAAAAAATTACATATAATATAAAAAATAAGTATGCAAGATCATATTAAAAAGAGTTTACATGAAAATGAATCCAATTAAAACTATAGTGAAAAAAATAGTAAAAAAGGAATTACATAAAAATTGTTAAAATTGAAAAACTAAACTAAAATTGAAGAAGCAATAAACAAACCAACATGATGTGAAATTACATAGAAAGGAAAGGAATCTACGTTAATGTTGAATTCCTTAGCTAAATTCCTAGAGAGTAGGTGCGTATCAAATACTCTAGTTGCCCTAATTTTAGAATTTTTTGTTTTACTTTCCTTTTTAATTAGGTACTCTATTATGTTCCTTTCATATAAAACTATAACTATTTAAGCTACCTATTCAATTAAGTACTCTACTAAAAGGTTGCTTTAACTTTGGAGAACCTTAACCCAGAAACATTGCCTATCAAGAAAGGAGAAGCATGTTGTTATTAGTGTATGTGTATCAACATCACTCTCTTTTGACAACTATTAATGATGAAATGGTCAAAGTCAAGGGTTAATGAATTTTTGCTAAGATGCTCGGGAAATAAAATTAGAATAAGATGAATTTAAGTCTTAATTTTATTTTTATATTAAAACTATTTCTTTTTTACATATACTATCGGTAAAACTTTTTAAAAAATAATACTACAACAATATGTTATTAAAAAAATAATTTAATTTTAAAGTTACACATAATATCATATCAAATTAATAATACTTCTTTTTAAAGTAAAATATTATTATATTCTTTGCTAGCACCAAAGATGTTAATAATAAGACAACAACATAATATAGTTTATTGTTTGATAACATATTAAAATTCAATTGTTGAAAGTACATGTGTCGATTCAAGCAATTGACTTAGTCAATGAGTTATTGACATAATGAGGAAACACAAAGTAACGATTACAAGACAGTAGAACAAATATATTAAGGTCGGTAAAATCGTCCTCAAGGGTTGA